GTGTACCCATATATTACGTAAACTATGGAAGCAAGGCTACTTCAAGCCTGTTTACGAAAAAAAAAAAAAAAAAAAAAAAAAAAAAAAAAAAAAAAAAAAAAACAAAAAAGTCATGAAATCATTCTACCTAAACGTTACCCCTATTTTAGCAAAATGACTTCTTGCATAAAGCCTGCGATTTTCAGCAAACTTGATGTGACTGGCCGCAAAGCTTCTTCCAGGTGCTCTGCGCTGTTGGCAAAATTTAATGTGCATGGATATCATTATTTTCCAAGCAGTCTCATCATTCTTGTTTAGCCATGTGATGTGGAGCTTTAATGCTTTCAATTTGGTATTTCTGTTTACAGGTAGTACGCGATCCCCGCTTTGAGTCTTTGTGTGGCAATCTTGATGTTGAGGGGTATGTCTCAGTTGCCTTTCCTTATCTTTCAGTAAATCTACTGAGTGCTTGTTTTATGGTACGGTGTTCTTGTTATGGCTTCGAGGCTACTTTGTGCAAACGTATTGAATCTAGTCTGTATGGAACCTTTTCTTTACTAGTCCTTTGTTCCCCATGTTGTGTGGACAGATAATATTGATCAGAATGGGTGGATAGTTGTCCAAGATACTAATCTATTTCTCTGTAGTTTCCTCAGTCTAGTATTTCATTAAACATTTTTAAACGAGGCTGTATCCCTTTGGAGTCCAAAATTCTGATCTGTCCATCATTAGTGCTCTCAGTCTGCTTTTTTATAGAACTCTTTGAACAAGGCCATGCTCCAGTTTTTCCCTGGATTTCAATGTTATTTCAAGTTGCTTATAACATTTTGGACCTCATCTTTCTTAATTCTTATTGTTTTTGCATATTGTCGTATTAAATGGTGTTGTTTATAAAAGGCCACAGTTGAATATTATCGCTTAACCCATACTTTGGATGCAAATCTTTTACTTGTGGATAAATTTCATGAATAATAGTGAATAACTCTCTTTCTTCATCATGGTTGTGTAATTAATAGCAGTGGAATTTTTGCAGGTTTAGAAAAAGATACGACTTTCTGTTTAAGAATAATCTTCCTGCTGAGAAAGAGGTAATTTCTGTGAATTCATCAATGACAATTGTTTTTCTAACTTTTTGTACCTAAATCTTAAATTACTTCCCCTAAAAGTGACTTTTTGGAATTGAAGGAACTAAAGAAGCAACTGAAGAAATCCAATGATCCGAAAGTCATTGATCAATTGAAGGAGCGTATATCTTGGATTGTAAGTACATGCCTTGTTGGATGAAACTGTTACTCTAAATCTGGCCATTTGTCTGATCAATTGATTTGTTTATCTGGCCTGTCTTTGTCATCTTCTCATAAAATTAATAGGAGAAGCAGACGAAGTTTGAGTCAACAAAGCAGACTGATGCAGCTATACTGGCTGAGCACAAGAAGAAAGAGAGAGAAGCTGCGAAGCAAGGGAAACGGCCCTTTTATCTTAAAAAATGTATCTCCATCCATCTCTCGCTCTCTTTTGCATCATTATTGATAAGTGTCTTTTTTTGCTTGAACATTTTGATCTTCCGCTCTCAGGTTTACTATTTGTCAATAAGAAGGAATCGATCCTTAAGCACTGGTTATAGCCTGAGGCAGTAATTAAATTGGTTATTCCTAATTTATGTCTTTAGACTGGCATTTGAATATACTTTAAGTATTCATTGAGAAGTAGAATGTGTTTGGGAATGCTTTGCGAAACAAGACTGTTCTTTAGAATGCTGAACCAGAATGCATGGGACATTTGATACGACCAATAGTATTAGTCTGTTTTAGTGGTGGATCCTATTAGAAATAGTGAAAGCATACAAGGTGTTGAGAGTATTGGATCTGTGTTTGATCTGATACTATGGAGGGCAAAAACTAATCATTATCAGAATCTGTAATTCTTGATATAGGTACCAATTTGCATGTGTGGTGGACGACAGTTCTGTTGTCTTGTCCATTTGTTAATGTTCTTTTATTTTGTACGTTAATTTTAATTATTTCTCATGGTGCTTGGATAAATGAATCAAACAGCACTCAAGCAGTCTACATGAATACTAACTTGTGTTTTTTGCAGCGGAAATACGGAAACAGAGGCTTACTGAAAAATACAACAAACTCAAGGTACCTTTTTTGGATGAGCAAAATGCTATGTGATGTGAAACTATAAGATATGACAACTCATTTCATCAGTTACATGGTTTTGCTGACTAATGAATCTTATAACATGACTAGGCATCTGGCAAGCTCGAATCCTTCATTGAGAAAAGGAGGAGAAAGAATGCCGCAAAGGATCACAGATACATGCCATACCGAAGGTCAGCCAATAGTGAGCAACAGAGCTGATGATTTGCGAGTTTTTTGGCTGCTAAAGAAATGTATATCGTTCTCCTTAATTTTCTGCTAGCACGTGAAGACATGCCTATGGTGTTCTGGTTTGGTGGGCAAGTTTAATGGTTTGTATGACTCTGATAGTGTTGTGCCCTTTCTGGACCAAATTATAGAAGCCATATTTTTGAAATTATGATTTCTATTAGTCTTCAAGCTTTGGATATGGTTGAATTTATTTAATCATAATCCAACAGTTCTATTACATGGAAAAACTACGAAGAAAAATATGCTCCACGCTTTGGTTCTCTAAGGCCTGTGATGGAGCCCATCTCTAAAATAACAATGAACATTGCAATGAAAAAATGGAGCCCATATGAGTGTTGGACCATGCTTACCAATCACTCCAAGCCGACACCATTTTTCTCCCTGATACTTGATTTATTATTCTTCCTGAGAACATGTAAAATGTTGCTGCTGATCGTATTCTCGTGCGAGTCGAAACCTTAACTTTTGCAATCGTTAATTAAAAAGTGTGGTCACGATGCACTTGTTGTCCAAGTTGTCACAAGAAAGTAGATTTTAGAACATTATATGTAAAATTATAAAATTCATTTTGGCAATCATAAGATAAGATTTATATGAAACAAATGTTAAATTACACATAAAATATTGAAATTAATTCCTAGAATGCAAGCTAAAGCATATACTGAAATGATACCTAAAGTAGAAGCATGTAAAGCATAATTTATTGGTGCTCTTACAATTTGATTAAGCTGAAATATTTGTTGTTGATGAAGATTAATAATTTTTTTAAAAACATTTATCACTCCTTATTTGGTGAAAAATGATTTTCTTCAATGAGACTAACAGGATTTTAACATTACCATCTTGTTTAAATTTATTCTCAAATAAGGTCTAATCTTTATAATAAAAAGAAAGAGTAGAAGAACAAGGAAAATCAACAACAAAAAAGGAAAAGACCTCAAGAAATTTCATATAATTTTTCACTGACACCTATTTATTAGGACTTGGAAGCTAAAATATTAATTTTTCATAATCCATGAATATTTATTGTTTTTGATGAATGTTCATATTTCAAGTTTGTTGCATCCGGATTTTTTTGTTGATATTTCTGTTTTAAGAGTTCATGTGTGAATTTGATTGAGTCTTCAATTTCATTCTATAAGCAGCAACGGAATAGCTGGCATTACAAGCTAATTGGACAATTAACTGTTGGCGCTCAGCTCCATGGATTCGTGTCGGGTGACCACAGACTTGGTGAAGTTCTCAAATCCTGCTAACATACTACAAAGAGGTCAAATCTAGGCTGCACTAGGTTCTTGCTCAAATGCATCATCTGGAAATTTTCCTGGGTCTTTAATGAAGATTCCAGATTTCAATGTGGGTGCGTATATAAGGATAGGAATCAAACTGTTTTAAATAGTATGATTAACTCGAAAATGAGTCTCGCAGCAGGTTTTTTACCTACTGGGGCTAACTCAGCTGTTCTGAAAGGTCTCAACCATCTTGATTTATCCACACCCTCTTGATGTCAACAAGTTTTAACTGTTCTGGATCTTCTACTACCCTCTGCTCGATAGAAGAGGAAGATGCCCATCTAGGACAAAATAGATCACAAAAGCTGAAAAGGAAACATCAACAAGGAGGTCTTAGTACCACATTTCAGTCTGATTTGTTCAATTGATGTTGCGTTGTTCTCTCTTCTTCCTTGGGTCTTGCTTTAAATAGGAAGATCATGGAGGGGCTTTCCACTTCTCAGCTACATAAGAAAACCAGATTAGACAGTAAGAAAAATGATATTCTACAAGGAATTCTTATTCAGCAGCTACCACCAAGTCAGGACTATGTCCATCTGCAAGGTCAACGCCAAACTCTACATACATCAGTACCATAGAATAAGTTGGGGAATCAGAAGCAGCAGAATACTTTGCAGTCACACTACAGTTTCTGGGAGTTAACATGAAGCAGCAGCAGCCACAAACGAGGGACTACCTGCAACGGCGGGCCTTGCCACAAGTCCAATCTGTGCATTCTTTCAGTGCCAAGGATGTTCATGCAGGCTAATGCAATACGTGTATCATCTGCAGCAAAGACCACCTATGAGTGACTGTGTGATCAAGAATGTAATCATTTGAGTAGTAGTTTAGATGTTAATGTTGACTTGTGTCAGGACTCTTGCTGATGCTTTGTTTCCATCTTAACATCATATTTCCGCCTGGAGCAAAGAAATACACCTTGAAGCTGTTCTAACCCCACCCACCCCAAACACACACAACACCCCCCCCCCCCCCCCACCACACCCTGTCCCTCTCTCCACTTCCGCCCATAGATCCCCAGCTACTCCCTCTCAC